GCCAGCCGCGACCGTCTGATGGATTAGGAAGGACCACCGCATCATACTGCCTGAATTCATGTCTAGCTTTTCCTGCCTTTCATCTTTCTGACTGCCTGCTTTTGTACCGCGTTTGTCAACATTTAACAGCTTTTGTAGAATTGGTGGTGCACACAAGACACCCGCATTGAAAATGGCTCTTGTGAGCCGGGCGGTGGTGGCACACGCCTTTAATCCCAGCACTCAGGAGGCAGAGCCAGGTGGATCCCTGTGAGTTCGAGGCCAGCCTGGGCTACAGAGTGAGATCCAGGACAGGCTCCAAAACTACACAGAGAAACCCTGTCTCGAAACAAACAAACAACAACAACAAGGCCCTTGTGGGTTTTATCTGACTATCTACAAAGTTCCTACATCCGGGTTCCCAAGGTTCATGAACTTGGCTTCATGGCGTGGGGGTGCTTTAGGGGGACATTGGCTATGAATGGTCTCACTCCTGCACACAGAGGTTGTCTTCCTCTTCTGCTTGCAAAAGCAGGCCAAATGGCTTAGGAAGCTTATTATTTTGTGGAGCTGAAATGTTATTAGCTGAAGAACAACCCGAGCAAAGGATATTTCAGCGAGTGACAAGTATGTTTTGTACAGTGTATTGATGATAATCTCTCTTCTCTGCCTCTTGCTCTCCTGGTTTTGTGCTAGAGGCTTCTTTTGAAACAAGTGTTTTCAGATTGGAGCACGTTATGGCAAGGAGCCCGGAAGAGGTGGATTTAGCGCACCGAAGTCCTGTTTTCAATTATCAAGAATCCACAAAACCACAGGCTTAGGTTTGGGATAGCCAATTTCAACGTTTGCCCTTCCAATGTAAATGTATAAAACATAAGCTGTTTAGCAGTACTGGGGTCTTGCTCAGTGACACGAGTCTCATCTCTCTAGCAGAGTACCTGCTGTGTAGGCTTATCACAAAAGCAGGTTTATGGCGCCTTCATTAATATGTCTGCACACTGACTAGACCCTGGGATGGGCAATCGTTTTTCTCTAAGCTGTGATCCATCATACATATTCAATTTAATATATTTCATTATGCTAATTTGAACAAGAAAATAGATTTTTTTCCTTACGAGTTCCAGCATATTTTCCAAAGACAGAGAAAACCTGTTACTGTTAGAATACTTTATTCAATTGTTATATAAGAATTTCCATTTTAATGCAGGCAAGTGTCTGACTTGAGGTCACATGATGCAGAAGAACAAGAGTGGTTCAGACAATGGAAAGCAGGGAGAATAAATGATGGGCAGAGCATAAAGGCAGGAAGGATGTCCATGGCTGGCATAATCCTGGGTCACTTAGCTGGGCCCTGTCCATGCCAGAAATTCCTTGTTTCAGATCAGCTTACTGATAAGCTCCATATTCCTTTAGTTTCTCACAACCAGTGTAAAGAATAAGTAGTTGGAGTCACAGGTCACTGAAGTCACCTAATAAGTCCTAATGTGTCAGTTTTCTTACCAGGAATAGGGCTGAGGATAATACTTGACTGCTGACCTCAGAGTGTTGCTCAGAAGCTAATGATACGAATGGAAGTGTTTGTAAATGATAGTGTAAGATTGATGTCCTCCGTTACATTTCTACTATTAAGAATGAAATAATGGTTTAGACTTAATTTATTTCAGTTGACCTGCAATATATGGCCCCAAGTTTCTTTGTCCAACACAGAAGCTGGTAGCTATTGACATTCATTAGGTTGAAATTGAATACTACCTTTTCAAAGAATCTGGCCACTCAGTAGTGCTCACTACATAATGTTGGCAGCTACATGTGTCTAATGGTTACCTCTCAGCATGGCTGCTAGAACCTTCCCTCTATTGAGGATGGGCTGGTCTAAAGTTTAAAGGGATGGAACTTTGCTTGATTGTCTACTATATACAAACACTGTTTTTTGAAAAAGATTTATTATATTGTATTGCATTTAAGTGTTGTGTGTATGTGCATGGAAGCCAGAAAGGAGAGCTGGATCCCTTAGAGCTGGAGTTACAAAAGCTTACAAGCTGCTCCATGCAGGTGCTGAGATCCAAACTCTGGTCCTCTGATGGAGAGGAAGTGCCCTTAACTGCTGAACCACCTCATTTGGAACCTAAATGATGCTCACTTTCTAACTAGCAGCTTGCCTTTATGTGATAAAGAGGAACCAAATTCTATATTCACTAAATTTCAACCTTAGCCGAGGTCTTTATAAGTGTAATCAAGAGCTTATGGAGTTATTATTGAAAAAGCAAGCAACTTTTTGGTAGTTCGTTACAACAAATTCTGAAGCCATAAACTGTTTTATACACCGTAAAAATGGTTCTCTAGCTTTGTTCCATGGAAACTCACTTTGCTTTGATTTACTGTGACTCGGGACTTAAAACTCAGAATGAGATTAATGAGCTGCTTCTGGTTACGTCATCTTCGTGGGTCCTCAAAGGCAGCCGCTGCTCTAGTCACGGACGATGCTCAGCTCTGCTCCGGCTTTCACCTAACAGAATGCCTACAGTTTCTGAGTAACTCACCCGACCGCGCAGCAGATCATGTAGTTGGCGTTTCTCACCGCTGCCTAGGCAGCTTGCCTGACTGTTTGCACAAAGACTCTGCATAGCACAGGGGCCAACAGAGGCAATTTAAGGAGAACCTGCATGGATCAAGCTAGGGTAAGCAGGCTGATAAGCCAAGGCACTTTCCGCTGGGGCATATGGTGCTGGTTATTTTTAATGGTCAACTTGACGCAACCGAGAATCACTTGGGAAGAGGGTCTCAATTGAGGAATTGCTAGATCAGTTGGACTGTGAGCATACCTGTAAGGAAGTTCTCCTCCTCTTCCTTCTCCTTCTCCTTCTCCTTCCCCTTCCTCCTCCTTCTCCTTCCCCTTCCTTCTCCTCCTCCTCCTTCTTCTTCTTCTCTTCCTCCTCCTCCCCCTCCTCCCCCTCCTTCTCCCCTTCATCTTTCTCCTCCTCCTCCCCTTTCTTCCTCCTCCTCTCCTCATCTTCCTCCTCCCCTTCATCTCTCTTCTTATGCTAAGACAGTGTTTCTCTGTGTAGCCCTGGCTGTCCTGGAATTTGCTCTAGACCAGACTGGTCTCAAACTCAGAGATCCAGCTAACTCTGTCTTCTGAGTGTTGGGATTAAAAGCTTGTACCACTGCATCCAGCTGGAGATTCTTTCTCAATTAGGTTAGTTGAGGTGGGATGATCCACTCTGACGTCAGCAACATCACATCACAGGTTGGACCCTGAACTGTATGATAGAAAAAAAGTCAGTCGAGCTGAGCGAGTAAACACACATTGACTTCTGTCTCTGTTCTCGAGTGTGATGTGACTAATTGTCTTGAGTTTTTGCCTTGATTTACCCACAGTAATGGAGTATAACCTGGAATTGTAAGCCAAACAAATTCTTTCTTCTCTAAATTGCCTTTTTCAGGGTACTTCATTACTACATTAGGAACGAGAAAACATACTTAACACTGTTTGATACTTTGTGATGATCATAGATCATAAATATATGAGGCACCAATCATTCGTGAGGATCATTAGGTTCCAAATGAGTGTCCTTGCTAGCAACACATGCTTTCTAATTTTCTATGTACTTCTTCTTCTTTTTTTAAAGACAGTTTCATTATGTAGCCCTGCCTGGCCTGGCACTTGATATATAGACCGTAGCCTTGAATTCATAGACATTGGTCTGCCTCTGCCACCTGAGTACTAGAATTAAATGCCCAGTGTGTGTATTTTTAAAAATCCTCCCATTGTGCTGTAAGCCTGAATTTAAGACCTCCTCCCTGCTTCAAGAAATGACATTAGGCATTTAAAATTTAAAATATATATATATATATATATATATATATATGT